CCGAAAATTCAATTAACAATTGGGGCCAAATTTTAAATACCTAATTTATTAAACAAATAGTTCATAAAAAATAATAAATAAATAACAAAAATATCATTTTTCCATTAAAATGGTTAATAACAACTATTCAACACTTTAAAAATATATAAAAAGTTATTTTTTGCATAAATAAAGTAATTATAAGTATATATGGCCTATTATTGCAAAATGTGCAATTTTAGCTTTTAAAATTCAAATGTATTTATGATACATATGTTAAAAATATTTAAAACCTAATCTCGGTGTAAATTAGATGCAATTAATTTGAGATGACAAAATTAGATGATAAAATCATCTTAAAAATAATTTGAGATGCAATTAATGAGTATTTATATAATAAAATGTAGGAATAAATTGATTTAAAAACATTTTAAAATTATAAAAAATTATAAAAAATGCTTGCATGTGTTTATAAATAAAGTGATGATGCATATGCACTATTTTGAAAGCATATATGTATATTAAAAATATGAGGAAAAATTAGGTATCAATAGTGGCCAAGTGCAATAATGTGCAAAGTGAGGTTATCGAGTCCTCTAGAGGCCGACTACGTTGAGTCCTGTTGAGGCTGGGTACTATCGAGATCTTTTGAAGTCAGGTATGACTGAGTCCACTTTGAGGCCGGGTATGGAGTGATGTCTGATGTGAGGTTACTGAGTCCTATCGAGGCCGGTTGTGCCGAGTTTTGCTGAGACCAGTTATAGTCGAGAACTCCTGAGGCCGAGTCCTCTAGGAGGCCGGGTATGGAGTGAAATGTGATGATATGCCCCAAAGAGTGGCCGAATGTTTGGCCCCAAAGAGTGGCTTGGTTTAAAAAAAGCTTGCATACATTCATGATTCATGGTTATAGCAGTGAACGCCCCCGGTGGCTTTTCTACCATATTCAGGTTTGTATTTCTACCTTTTATGATATGCATTTGGTTTACATAATTTATATATCTTACATACTCAGTACACCTTTTCATAAATTACATACATAGTACGCCTTTTTCTTTGGGCACTGTCCATAGGTACAGATAGGCCCAGTGACATCCCTCCCCAATAGGGTATTTGTTCCAGCTATTTTTTTTCGCACTCCACTCCTTCGAGGTAGTTTTCCAAAGTCAATAGGTACTGAAGTGTATGTTTCAGTTATTTTTGTACGATGGGGCTCTTTCCTGACTGAGTCATTTACTAAATTTTGGCACTCTTGAAGGATTGCAGGACATTGTTCGGATGTATGTAAGGGTTAGTTATGCCTTTGTTGGAAGAAATTATTAAGTTGTGTGTAATATTAATGATTCTTTCACAAGTCGTTTATGAAGCTTTTATCAAATTCTAGATATTGCATTTGGGGGCCTAATCCATCCAAATTCATGAAAAAAGATGTGAGTATGGAAGTCGGTCCGCACATGCCTTCAGGCGTCGTGTCCGGTCACACCTCCCAAGGTTGGGGTGTGACATTAATTACAATCTAAGGCATAATTGTGGATCGGTGGTGACTTTAAGAGGTTGGTATTGAGGATGACTCGAATGAGAAAATTTCTAGATACATGATGTACTATACTTTATGGCTATAGGGAAATCTAGGAATGATTAGGAGTTTTTATTCATGGTTGATGTACTATGCTAGGAGAAGGTATTCACTCGGTTGCTAAGAAGAGGGGTTACTTCTTAAATTTTTGTGTGTTAATGGAGAACAAGTTGTTCGTCTTGTTTTTGTGGTGGACTGGAGATTTGAGAAGAGTGGATGACTCTCGAAAAGGTTCTAGTGAGTTCAAGATTCGTATGTGGTATTTGAGGATTTTCCCGAATTTGTGTATTGCTAAGATTTGAGATATGCATTGGATGGTGTCAAAACTTGCAGTATTTTTGTATCATTAGTTATTCTACATTTCAGTATCAGAGAGGTTAAGGAAACAACTTCAAATTCATAGAGGGTCTCTCTAGAGTGGGCATCTCGGTCGCGGTACTATTGGGTACTTAAGAGAGAATATAGTGAATTATAAGACATAGGATGATGTGGTTTTATGTTAGGATCTTCGTGCTAAGCTTGGTATAGAGGATTTTATTGTACTATTAAGGAGAAGTGTTAATTTGAAGGCAAGTCGAGAGAGACTCGAATAAATAGGTCAGCTCGGTAATGGTTCGGGTTAACATAATAATAGAAGTGATTGGTTCATTTGGTGTGGCGAAATTTTGTAAGTGTGTTATGGCAATACTCTTGGGCTTGGCAGTCTATGAGATTTGGTTGGGTTGGAGCGATTCAGTTCTAATGGCTTGGTTGTGTGCAAACGGGTTTCGAAGAGTTCTTGATGGTGTCGACCATGGCTTGAGACAGATGTCTTCTAATAGTATGAGGGGTATATTGTGTGTTATGATCTTCTCTTAGATGGGGTTCAAGTGGGAAGTTTCTAGTTGATGAGGTGTCTATACTACTTGAGATTCATAGTTATTCATGAGGTTTTCGTGTTTTCATATGATGGCATGATGGATGCAGCATGACGTGTGGGATTAAGGTTTGCATGTCCGAGGTGGTGGTTATGATAAGGGTGCATATTTCAGAAGGCATATTATGTTTTCACTTGCGGGTGCTTGACAGGTATTACAGTAATCGCCTAAATAATCGATTGCTGGTGTTTAGATTTTGCTATGTGGCACGAAAGAACTATGGAATTATATCTCTTGAGATTATTGTGTATGAGGGATGTGTCAGTCAATTAAGTAGTCAAGTTGAGATCGGACATGGAGATTCTTGTATTCTAGGTATTTGAAGACTAGTAGGGTTCTTAAAGGCATAGTGTTCCTTAGTTGCAGATAGTGAAGGTATGTTAAGAGGTTGATGGTGGATTGTATGTGTTATGATTAGGTTACTGGTTACTATTGGAAGGTTATTTACCTATTTGTGTGTCACGACCCCAAATACCGATCGTGATGGCACCTATCACATTACTACGCAAGCCAACCCAACCATTTATCACAACCCATTTTCTATTAATAACACATTTTCTAACACGGGTTTAAATACCAAATTTCCATAATAAGTGTTTAAATCAACAAAATATATGCGGAAGTCAATAAAACATAAAACTACACAGCCCCAAATATCTGGTGTTACGAGTCTAGAGCCTATAATACATAACTGACCGTTTAATACATCATAAATCTAGAAAATGTTGAAAAAGAACAAGATAGGAGGGAGAAAACACGGCTGCAGACACCATGCGGCTACCTTGCAATCTCTGGCAAACTCTGGATCAGCTGAGGACCCTCACTCTGCCGCTCGGGCACCTGGATCTGCACACAATGTGCAGGGAGTAACGTGAGTATACCAACTCAGTAAATAACTAAAGTAAATAAGATATAAAAGCAGTGACCAGCAGTTAAAAATCATATAAATGAATAGGCAATAGGACAAAAGATCAAATTCCACAAATTAAAACCAATTTCATCAAAAAAAATCATCAATTTCAATTTTAAATACTTGAAATCATATACTTAGCAATTTCTTACAACAGAGGCTTATTTTAAAAGAAGAGTGAAATCAGTGAAAAATATCATAACTAGGCCCCTCGGGCAAAGTGTCACTCAATATATGGCCTCTGGGGCAGCCTCTCAGTCACTCAATACTTACTCTTAGTACCCAGGCTCATTAATATCTCATAATAATAGAATCATAGAAACCGCTGCGGCGTGCAGCCCGATCCTTAGTTTATAGTCGACTATGCTCACTAGGGTGTACAGACTCCGGAGGGGCTCCTACAGCCCAAACGTCATATCAATGCGACACGCAGCCTATATATATATCGTTGCAGCGTGCAGCCCTATCCATATAAGTATCGATGCAGCGTGCAACCCAATCCATAACTCATACATATATAAATGTCCTCACCATTTGGTTCTCAATCTCTCTCAGTCATTAACCTTACAGCCTCTCAGGCACAATAGTCGAAATTAGGGAACTCAGTCCCAACAGTCCTCACATTTAGAAGTAGAGTGATAAAACCAGTTTTAAACACTTAAACAGGTAAAACATGACTGAAGATATGCTTTCAACAAGTAGAGTGAGGAAAAATAGCGAAAAAGCCCCTAAGGATCTCAACAGGTTGGCACAAGGCCCCAAACATGGCATACAACCAATAGTACAATATAAATGACTAAAGTACGAAAAATCATAAGGTTTCAAATCAAATACGTGGCTCAATAGTCACTACGGGACGGACCAAGTCACAATACCTACCGGTACACGCCCATACATTCGTCACCTAGCATGTGTGTCACCGCATTTATCAAAACAAGTCAAATACCGGGGTTTTGTACACTCAGTTCCAGATTTACAATGGTTACTTACCTCAAACCGGTGAAAATACTACTCCGCAATGCCTTTGCCCCTCGAGTCGGCCTCCACTAGCCTCGAATCTATCCAAAATCAGACTCACGGCGTCAAAATATGCTAAGGGAACGAAGCCCAAACGAAAACAATCAAATAATACCAAAAATTCCAAAATTGGCCAAACCCAACCCCGGGCCCACGTCTCGAAACTCAATAAAAATCACATCAACAGAATCCTTATCCTCCCACGAGTCCATACATACCAAGAACACTGAAATCAGAGTCCAAATGACCCCTCAAATTCTCATTTTAAAGTCTCTTAATCTCAAGCCCTAATCCCCAATTTTTCTTCCTTAGTTTCCACTAATACCTTGATTAAACAAGGAAAAAATGATCATAAACCCAAAATGTTTTTAGATTTCTTAACTTCTGGACAAAGCATGAAACCTTCAAAGATTTAGTAAAGGAGAATTGGAATGCTGATTTTAGTGCTAACCCTTTCTGCATTTTTAACTACAAGTTAAAGAAGCTTAAACAAGCACTATCTACCTGGAGCAGAGCTACATATGGGTATATATTCCAGAAGATTGCAAGCCTTGAGGAGGTGGTATTGGTTCATGAAAGACAATTTGAAGTCAATCCTACACAGATGAATAGACAAAGATTACAACAGGTCCAAGCTGAAATGATTAAATATCTTGCATTAGAAGAAGAAGAATTCTGGATACAAAAAGCTGGCATGTTATGGTTCAAAGATGGCGATAGAAACACTAAATTCTTCCATGCTCAAGTTAATGGGAGAAGGAAGAGACTGAAATTATCAAGGATCCAGAATAGCATTGGTAACTGGATTGAAGAAGATCACTTAATAGCAGAAGAAGCAATAAAGTTCTACAAGGATCAATTTACTGAGAGTGCAGTCCCAAATGATTTCGATATTCTAAATCATGTACCTTCAATGGTAGATAGTGATCATCATGAAAGATTGATGGCCTTGCCTTCCAATGAAGAAGTGATTATGGGGTTGAATGGGGACTCAGCTGGTGGATCGGATGGTTTCATTGGAGCCTTTTACCAAACATGCTGGGAAATTATTGAAGAAGATGTTGTCCAAATGGTCAAGGCTTTCTTTTGCGGTCAACCGCTGCCAAAGAGTGTTACGCATACAAACCTGGTTTTATTACCAAAGAAAAAAGAAGTTATGACCTTTGCAGACATGAGACCAATCAGTCTTAGTAACTTTGTTAACAAGATTTTCTCTAGGGTTATTCATGAGAGGTTGGTTGAATTATTACCAAACATAATCTCAGAGGAACAGGCAGGTTTTGTGAAGGGCAGGAGCATAGTTAAGAACGTACTGTTAACTCAAGAAATCATTACGGATATCAGGTTGAGAACAAAAGCAGGTCCAAACGTTGTGATTAAGCTTGATATGAAAAAAGCTTACGACAGGCTATCATGGCTATTCCTGACCAAAATACTAAAGAAAATGGGATTTCTTGAAGCTTTTATTGGCTTGATCTTTGATTTGATTGGCAACAATTGGTACTCTGTGCTTATAAATGGTCAGCCTAATGGTTTCTTCAAATCATCGAGGGGAGTTAAACAGGGTGACCCTTTGTCACCAACTCTATTTATTCTAGCAGCAGAAGCACTTTCTCGGGGATTGAATTCACTACACACTAACCTGTATTTCGGTGGATTTGGAATGCCAAAATGGAGCCCAAAAATAAATCTTCTATCATACGCCGATGATACAATCATTTTCTGCTCATCTGATGAAACTTCGTTGAGACTTGTCATGGAGGGTCAACTGGTGAACAAAACCAAATCAGCCACATACCTGCATCATTTAACGGATAATGAGGTGATTAACAAGGTGGAAAGGATTACAGGTATACGAAGACAATGTTTCCCTATGACCTATCTTGGCTGTCCTATTTTTTATGCAAGAAGAAGGGGAGACTATTACCAGGGATTAATCACCAAGGTTACGGACAAACTTCAGTCATGGAAAGGCAAACTCCTGTCTGTAGGAGGCAGAGCTGTTTTAATCGCAAATGTCCTGCAGAGTATCCTAATTCATATGTTGTCATCAGTCAATCCTCCAAATTATGTGATCAACAAATTACATAGCATTTTTGCCAAGTTGTTCTGGAGCAGCAATGTCGGAGGCAGCACTAGACATTGGGTGTCTTGGACTAACCTTTGTATGCCTTTTGACGAGGGAGGCATAGGCTTCAGGTCCCTGCATGACGTATTGAAGGCACTGTTCTGCAAATTGTGGTGGAATTTCAGGACTAAGCCCACTTTGTGGAGTGCATTTATTAGTCAAAAGTACTGCAAGAAACTAAATGCAGTAATTGTACCTTGGAAACGTGGATCCCGCATGTGGAGAAAAATGCTAGAATGTAGGGATTTGATTGAGCATCAAATCTACTGGAAACTAAGAATGGGATCAGCTCATTTCTGGTTCGATAATTGGACTGAGATGGGAGCCTTATATTTTCAGGTGCCTGCAGAGTTTGGTATCGATCAGGATATTCATAATGTCAACGATCTGGTTGAAAATGGTATGTGGAATGTGGATAAAATGTTTGAGAGCCTACCTGAAGATTTGGCAAATCTCATTATGCAGAATATTAGACTACCAACTGAAAGTTCACAGTTAGATACTCCTTTCTGGATGCTTGAAACAAGGGGACATTTTACAGTAAAATCTGCATGGGATTACCTGCGAAGAAGAGCCAACCCAAAATTAGCTTACAAGATGATATGGGTAAAAGGTTTACCTTTCAAGATATCCTTCTTCCTATTGAAGGTGTGGAAAGCCAAACTATCACTTGATGATTTCTTGCGTAAAATAGGATACTCCATGCCATCTAAATGTTGGTACTGTGTTGATCCTAAGGAGGAGTCATTAGTACATTTGTTCTTCACATCAAATGCAGCTAGAAGTGTTTGGAGTTACTTCCTGAGGAGAGCAGAAATTGCATTAGATGGGTTGTCATTACATCAAGCAATTACAAAGTGTTGGACAGCACCAGTAGTACCTAGATTGAAGCCAGTGTTACAAGCTTTACCTGCATGCATTGTATGGGAACTTTGGAAGAGAAGAAACAGTTTGAAATATGGAGAAGCAGTGTCAGTGAGCAGATTTATTTACCAGGTGTCATCTACTTTGCAATCGCTGGTCCAACTGAAAAAGCCAGGACTACATGTGCCTCACAAGTGGCTGGACTTACTGACAATGATGGAGCAATACACACCTCGACTGAAATATGATAAAGTGTTATGGGAATTTCCTTCAAGAGGATGGATCAAAGTGAATACGGATGGAACATGTAGAGGGAACCCAGGGAGGAGTTCAATTGGTTTCTGCATAAGGGATGAGGCAGGTGATTTGATATATGCAGAAGGAAGGGAGATTTCTGAAGGAACCAACAATGAATCAGAAGCGGTAGCTATTGTGGAGGCATTGAAGATGTGCAAAAATCTTAATTATTGCCGGATATAGCTGCAGACAGATTCTATGCTATTAAAGAACATTATAGAGGAATCATGTAAGCCTCCATGGTATATTACTGAACATGTAGAGGAGATTTTAAGATTGAAGGAACAAAGTACCATCAAGGTCATACATATTTTCAGAGAAGGGAATACATTAGCAGACCATCTTGCCAATTACGCTCTCGATGAAGGAAATACTGAATGCCATGGTTTCTGGGATCTGGACTCAAAAGGAAGGAGGATTATTAACGAAGATAAGATGCAATGTCCTTACATAAGAGTGAAAGTTGCAATGAATTAGGAGGAAAAGAGGATTCATTTTGTTATCACACTCGAATCATTCTGGAGGAGAGTTTGGATAGCAATTTTTTGGCTAACTTTATTCACTTTTTTGCAGATATTTCATCAAAGCTAAAGCCTAATCTTATAGTAGAATCTCAAGTGGTAGTATTAATGGATTGCATCAATCCACTAGGAGGACATTAAAGATGGGCTTTCGCACTTTTACAATGTTTTATACATGGAAACAACTCACATCAAAGGGAAGTAATGCAATAGCATGGGAAATAAGCTGAGCACGTGAAGTTATGCATATTATCAGAAGCCAAATGGTTTGGAGTGTGCACCAGCATGCAACGGATCTGAGCAAAGGACTGAAAGAAATCAATTCATCATGCGAGTTGGAAACACAAGATACATATGCTTTCAGACAAGAACTGGAAGCTCACTTTTTCGATAATGCAAAGGAACGAGTATTTTTTAATAAAACTAACTGTGCATTGTGGCATTTACTGATTCATACAAAACTTTTCATGTGCACACATGGTTTACTGTGGAAGGCATGACAGACAACACATGTTGTCGAGCAAAGGAATCAAATGGAAAGGTGTAATACACATGGAAAGTTATCTGGGATACATAAAAGCATGCAATACTTTCGGATGATGGTACTATGGGATATAATTCTTATGTTTCAGCTGTATGTAGAGCTCACGTGCTTCTGGATTCTACAGCACAAAGCTGTCTCTATGGATTATATAATTGGTCTGGTCAGCTCAATCAAGACTGCGAGGAATCAAAAGGATCGCAGCAATGGGGACAGAAGAGTCTCTGGACCGACATTGCATGTTTTCTACAGATCACGCACGGCAGCAGATGCACGCATCTGGAGGATCTTGATGCATGCTTTTTCTGTTGTCCAATGTTATGCGATCAACATGCGGGAGAGACTATTGAGGAATATTGATACACGAACGGATGCTGACAGTTTTATCCAAATCAGCTGGGGCATGAGTTTTTTGGAAGACATTGTAAATTCGAACAGGGATGCTCGGCAGTTTTCAAATGGAATTGCACGCCAAGAGTTACTACTGAAAGTAACTCGAGTGTTATGGAGAGCATGTGAGTCTACTGAAAAGGGGAGCATGGGCCAAATCGCTTGGAATTAGCACCAGCATGCTAGGGATTTTAGAGGAGCTCAGGTTTATATTTGTTTAATGATGGAGGATGAAGAGAACTCGATAAGATCTGGTCAAATGAGTGGAAACAAATTACAACATGCGTGTTGAAAACAAAAGAGAAAATAGGTGTCGACAAAAGCTGGAATTGCTACAAACAACCGGCAATTTTTAATAGAAGGCACGTTGCATTGTGTGTTGTAAAAGCCTTTCACATGCACATTTATTACATATGAAATCCTGGAAGACAAAAATGCTGTCGAACAAAAATGGAATGTTATCTTGGATGCAGACTTGTATTTTACAAAGTTTAATAGCATTAATGTGATATCAATGTTGAGTGCAACACTCAATTTTGATAATAGGCTATTTGTTAAATTCAAATTTTATTCCTTTCATTTCGTAGGATATCATGACATTGTATTTTGTCTTTTACTTTGTTATAAATAAAACTAGCCCTAGGCGCTTGCGTAGCAGATTGACTAAAAAAATAAACTGATATCCCTTAATTTCTCTTGAAATCCACTGCCTTAGCCTCTTTCCCGTCTTCAAAAATGGAAAACTTAGCAAAATTTTGCGAAGAAAACAATATATACCTTCTGTCCCAGGGATTCTGCACCTGCGGCTCAGATTCGGCTTCTGCAGTACCGCATTTGTGGTCAATAAGCCACTTCTGCGGCTTTCACTTAACTCAGCCAAAATTGCATCTGCGATGGAAATTCCGCACCTGCGCCTTCGCAGGTGCGGAACCACAACCGCATCTGCAGTTCCTGCCTTCCCAGGCATTTTCTCTTTCTGCGATCTCCCTTCTCGCATCTATGGCATCGCACCTGCGGTCCCCCAATCCACATGTGCGGAAATACCATAACACAAAAATCTGCTACTTCTCAAATTTTCCAAACTCTCCGACGACCATCCGAGATCACCCTGAGGCCCCCAAGACCTCAACCAAAAACACCAACATATTCCAAAACCTCATTCAAACTTGTACCAATCTTCAAAACACCTTAAAAAACATCGAATCAACCAAAACACATCAGATTCAAGCCTATGTTTCAAAAATCTTCTAAATTCCGCTTTTGATCAAAAACCCAACCAAACCACGTCTGAATGACCTAAAATTTTGCACACACATCCCAAATGACACAACAGAACTACTGCAACTCTCGGGATTCCATTCCGACCCCTATATCAAAATCTCACATACCAACCGGAAATCGCCAAAAATCCAATTTCACCAATTCAAGCCTAAATCTACTCCGGACCTCTAAAACTCATTCTGATCACACTCCTAATTCACAAATCACCTCCCGGAGCTAACCGAACCATCGAAACTCACATATGAGCCCTCAACACATAAGTCAACATCCGGTTGACTTTTCCAACTTAAGCTTCCTAAAAAGAGACTATGTGTCTCAAACCTTACCAAATCCTTTCCAAACTCAAACCAATAAACCCGATAACATATAGAACCATTAGACAAAGTAATAAGAAGCAGAATGAGGAAAACGGAGCGGTAACTCATGAGACGACTGGCCGGGTCATCACATCCTCCCCAACTTAAACAGATGTTCGTCATCGAACGAGTCAAGAAAACATACCTGAAGCCTCAAACATGTGAGGATATCTGCTCTGCATCTCCCACTCGGTCTCCCAGGTAGCCTCCTCCATGGGCCAACCTCTCCACTGCACTTTCACTGAAGCTATAACCTTTGACCTCAACTTTTGAAGTTGACGACCCAAAATAGCTACTGGCTCCACATCATAAGTCAAATCATCATCCAATTAAACCGTGCTGAAATCCAGAACATAATACGGATCCCCAATATACTTCCGGAGCATAGAAATATGAAATATGAATGCACACTCGACAAGCTGGGTGGCAAAGCAAGCTCAAAAGCCACCTCCCCAATCCTCCGAAGCACCTCAAAAGGCCCAATGAACAGCGAACTCAATTTACCTTTCTTCCCAAATTTCATAAAACCCTTCATGGGTGAAACCTTCAACAGAACCTTCTCGCCAACCATGTAGGACATATCCCGAACCTTCCTATCAGCATAGCTCTTTTGCCTCGACTGCGCTGTACGAAGCCACTCTTGAATCACCTTCACCTTTTCTAAAGCATCCTGCACTAGGTCTGTCCCCAATAGCCTAGCCTCACCGGGCTCGAACCAACCAACTGGAGATCTACACCGCCTCCCATACAAAGCCTCATACGGAGCCATCTGAATACTCAATTGGTAGCTGTTGTTATAAGCAAACTCTGCAAGTGGTAGAAACTGATCCCATTACCCTCTAAAATCAATGACACAAGCACGCAACATGTCCTCCAATATCTGAATAGTGCGCTCGGACTGCCCGTCCGTCTGAGGGTAAAAAGCTATGCTCAACTCAACCTAATTACCCAACTGTAGCTGCACAGACCTCCAAAACTGCGAAGTAAACTGAGTGCCCCTATCTTAAATAATGGAAACTAGGACACCGTGTAGACGAACAATCTCTTTGATATAGATCTCTGCCAACCGCTCTGAAGAATAGGTAGTACACACAGGAATGAAGTGCGCGGACTTTGTCAGCCGATTCACAATCACCCAAATAGCATCGAACTTCCTCAAAGTCCGTGGAAGTCTAACTACAAAGTCCATAGTGACCCTCTCCCACTCTCACTCAGGAATATCCATCTGCTGAAGCAAGCCACCCGATCTATGATGCTCATATTTCACCTGCTGAAAATTGAGACACCGAGCTACAAATCCCACAATGTCTTTCTTCATTCTTCTCCACCAATAATGCTGCCTAAAATCCTGATACATCTTCGCAGCACCCGGATGAATGGAATATCGCAATCTATGGGCCTCTTCCAAAGTCAACTCCCAAAGCCCATCTACATTGGGCAGACAAATCCGGCCCTGCATCCTCAACACCCCACCATCACTAATGGTCACATATCTAGCATCATCATGCTGAACTCTGTCCTTAAGGACAAGCAAATGCGGATCATCATACCGATGCTCTCTGATGCGATCATATAAGGAAGACTGAGAAACCATGCAAGCCAATACCAGACTAGGTTCCGAAACATCTAACCTCATGAACTGATTGGCCAAGGCCTGAACATCAACTACAAGAGGTCTCTCCCCAACTGGAATATATGCAAAACTCCCCATACTCACTGCCTTTCTACTCAAAGCATCGGCCACCACATTGGCCTTCCCCAGATGATACAATATAGTGATATCATAATCTTTCAGAAACTCCAACCACCTCCGCTGCCTCAAATTGGGATCCTTCTATTTGAAAAAGTACTGGAGGCTACAATGATCAGTAAACACCTCACAAGACACACCATACAAGTAATGCCTCCAAATCTTCAACGCGTTAACTATGGAAGCCAACTCAAAATCATGAACGGGGTAGTTCTTCTTATGGGGCTTCAACTGACGAGAAGCATAAGCAATAACTCTACCCTCCTGCATAAAAACAGAACCAATACCCACACTCGAAGCATCACAAAACACGGTATATGAACCTGAAGCTGATGGAAAAACTA